GGCCCAGGTATTTGTAGTGATCTTCTTCATCCAGGTTCTTGATGTTATTTCCATTGGGCATCTTGATTCCTTCAGTTTTCACTATTTTTCCTGATGGTCAGGGTGGCATATCTGTCCAGTCCAAACTCCACTGCAATATCTTAGTGGTATATTTGGACAGTGTTGAGGAGTGATTCTATTTCAGATAGTGTTTTTCCATACAGCTTCAGATCGTCTATGTAAAGCAGGTGGGATAACCTGGCAGATGTTTTTGATGTTTGATAGCCATGGCCTGACTTATTCACTATTGTTGACAGAGGAATCAACGCAATGACAAACAGTAGTGGTAATAGTGGGTCTTCTTGAAAGATTCTTCTCTTGATGTTTACCTCTCCCAGTCTATCACCATTGACCAGCAACTGTCTCTTCCATTGTGCCATTGATCTTTGCACAAAGCTTTTGATGTTTCTACTACCTTCGGTTATTTCTAGGCACTTGATTATTCAATCATGAGGCAGGGAATCGAATGCCTTCCTGTAATCAGTCAAAGCTACATTCAAGTTGGTCTTCCTTCCCTTCCAGTTTTCCAAAATAATTTTGTCAATTAGGAGATGATTTTTTGTCCCTCTGCTGTTTGGGTGGTTTCCTTTCTGCTCAGATGGAAAGAGCTTGTTTTCAGCTAGATGCTGTTGACTGCATCAGCTACCACACTAGTTAGCAATTAGAAAATTGTTGGCAAGCAGGTAATTGGCCTGTAGTTGCCTGGTGCTGCCTCTTTTGCTGGATCTTTCATTATTAGATAGGCTTTGCAGACTCCTTGGGGTTCTCTGAGCTTGGTTGTTTTCTTGCAAACATTTTGTTGCCCGGCTAGGTAACATCTTCAGTGTTAGATGGAATGGGGTTTGCTCTCTGTATATATATTGTGGCATGCCCTGCCAGTGTGGGTGTGGGTTTTGTTTTCTTCTATTTTTTCCCTCTGGTAGTTCCTTGATTAAGGTATTGTTTACTGGTTGTATGTCTGCTGGTAATCTTGGTGTTAATCTCTGCTTATCTGGGTGATGATTGCTGGTG